TTCTTCTCACTCCGGCTGGAAAAGCAGCGGCTGCATTTGAGGCGAAGGGAGGAGACCTCGATTCTCGCCTCGCTGGCTTAGGAGGAGTGGGGAGCGAAGGGGGCAAGGGGAGGCGAGGGACGGCAGGAAGTGTGGCATATCCTGGCACGGCGAGAGGGAAGCGGGCAGGCGTTGCACAAAGCGGAAGTGTGGCGAAGACGCCCCGGGGAACGATTTGGCGGGAGCACCAGCGGGGGTGTGGCATTTCCGAAATGGTTTGGCTTTGCCTCATGGCAGCGCAAACTGCCTTGACTCGAGCTCACTCCCGATGACTTAATGGATGTGTCCCTATGGTTTTCTGGACGGCAATAGGGAAGTGGCTCCCGCTTTTTTCCCCCCCCCCGACTTCTCAGTCAAGTCTACCGCTCCGAGATTTCCGTGTGGTCTCCCATCCAAATGCTAACGTGGCCTTGACCATCTGCTGTGACCAAATGTTGATATGGAAAGAAATCCCAGAGACATGAGTGGTTCTGACAGGCTAGAGCAGAATGCAGAACCGGATCTCTTTCTGCAATAAACCAACTGCTTTCACAAGCTTTCCTTAGTTCGTGTTGCTTTTGTTTTTGCTATTCCTTTTCATTGCAACAAAAAGGGGGCAGCTTCCCCCAATGAGACCCAGGGGGGTTCTGGGATAAATTTCTGCCCGAAAGCTGCTGGGTAGCAAGCAGTTCTGTCATCAAGGCTCTCCTTTCGCTAAGGAGAGAGGCAACGGAGATGTGGGTCTCAGAACTATAGATGCTGTCCAGTCCATTCTATTGCACGGCCCTATATCTTTGTGACACTCCACAAGAGGCGATTAAAAAAAAAAAGCAGAAAAAGAGAAACACGTTCAAGCGGAACTTCTGGGAAAGACGACGCGCTTCCATTGTTCAGTATTCTCTTTTAGGAGTAGATTTTCAGCGCCGCTCTACCCTTTGGAATCTCTATGGCGAAACCATTTCACACCGGTGGGGGAAAGGAAAAGCCGTTCCATCTTAGACCGGAAATACGACAGAGGGCGGTCCACGTAGAGATAGAAATTCTTAAACCCTCCATGCTCGTTTCGACACTTCCGGTCAAACTGAATGGCTCTACCCGTTAACTTCCCCGTGAAGGTTTTTCTTATAGGCCTCCCGAGATGAGAACGGGAGATCTGTAGATGATCACCGAAAATATGCGTTTAAACTTTTTTTTTTAAATTACGACACTGGGGCGGGCAGGGGGACAGCTTTGGAAAGGACGCTTCCGCTTACCATAGAGAAAAAGCGGCACGGGAAGTCTGATCCCGTCTCGCCTGGTAGGGGGAACGCTTTGAGGCGTGCACATTTCCTGTTTCCTAGCAACAAAAGGAAGTATTTGTTGTTGCCCTCTCCTCCGGGACTCCTGCCAGTGAATCCCGGGGTCTCGGGGCAAGAGGCGTTGCGGGGCCGCCCAGCCCGGCGTGCGGGACCCGGCAGGGAGCGGCGGGGCGTCCGAGGGGCCCGGAGGACTTGGGCTGCCCGGCTTGCCTCCCCCGTTTCGTTCCCCTCGGGCCGCTCCGTCCGTTGCTCGCCGAGCAGGAAGCGAAGGGCTCGGCGGGTCTCTTCCCGGGAAACGGAGGGGCGTCGTGGGGCCTCTTTTCTACCTCAGGGCGGGATCCCGCGCGGACTCTGAATCCCGCCCGTCCACCTCGAGCCTCCCGGGAAGGGGGGCGGTGAACGGGGCCCTTCCGCCGCGCTCCTGAATCCGAATCTCAGGGTTTTCGGCCCCGCTCGTAGCTGCTGGTCGCGGCCTCCTCGGACGCCCGAACGCCGCCTCTCCTGTGGATGCCTTAGAAACCCTGGAATACCTGCGGTCTGCTGCTCCCCTACTTGAACGGGATGCTTCCCGGTGGGATGTCCTGAAATGCACTGGAGTCTACGCTTGGAGGTCCAGCTCCCAGCCTCTTTCAGCACTCAGGGTCCTCGTGTCTTCTTCAGCCTCTGGGTTTGAGGCTTCTTCCTTGATACCTCCTGCTCTGAAGATGGGACTCTGAAGGCCCGCCTTGATCCTGAAGAATGTCACCTTTGAATGCCTTTGCTTTTGGAAATTCAGGGGGCCTCCTGCGTAGCTTGAACTCTGTCCCAGACCAGAAAAGTCAGTTTACACAACTCATCCCCAACTTGTTTGTGTCTTGTGCGTGTTTCAGTGTACGTTAATATGTCTTGGTCTTGGCCGTATTCCCTGCTTTTGGGGGAAGGAAATTTGTGTCAGTGGCCCCTGATAAATATTTTTTATGCTCGTCTGGAAAATTCAGAATGATCTGAGAGGTAAGAAAATAACTTATTTGTCTATCTGTATGCGTGCTTGTATTCAACATATAATTTTTCCAATTTGGTGGCATCCAAATGTTTTAAATTGCAACTCCCATTAGCGACAATTTTGTATGGTCAGGTTCAGGGCTGATGGGCGTTACAGGCCAAACCATCTGGAAAGTAAAGATTGGGAAAATCCTGGGTCCAGAGTAATATAATAAAGCTTGTATGTCTGTTTATATAAAACCCATGCTCTTTTTTGTTGTGTGAGGGAGAAAAAAATCAGCTTGAAGTACATCACTGCTTCCTAGATGTCTCCTTGTGCACTGAGATTAGAATAAAATAGTTGGGCAAAAAAACCCAAGAAAATTTCTGTGATCGAGCAGAACAAAAATAAAAGAATAGCATATAGTGAAATCAAACTCTGTTATGGGCACTGAAATACCTAGTTTGTTATACCCATCTTTTCTCAGAATTGGGGATAAATTCCAAGGACCTTGTTCCTTAGAATGATGTATGAAACTATTGTTTTGGTCTGTTTCAGAAAATTCTAAACTTCTGACTTATAGTCTCAGAACTAAGTTAGTTCCCTTCCCCTTTCCAAACACAATTCTCAGCGTTTCTGTTCTTAGAGAACAGGGAAATTATAGTCCATTGTCCTAGAAGGCATCAAACTGGAAAAGGTTGTTCTACATCTCTGCAACAAAAGCCTGTTTTAACACACCCAACCACAAATTGGATATATAACTATTCTCTTTTGAATGTTGAGGATTCATCCTCATAATTTGAGGTCACTTGATTTATTGTTACTTATCTGTGCCTCCTGTTCTTAACTGGATTTAAGGCCCAGAAGCTGAAACTTGTTGGTTTAGGTTTAAAAAAGACACTGTGGTTTCCTTGATACATTTGTCCTCTGAGCAGCTTTTATTTTAGACACTAGGTAGCACATATATATGTTGGTTATAAAACTTCTCCTCCTACCTTGTCCAATGAATGCCTAAAGGAAGCTAACAACACTCATACAATAAGTGCATAAGAATTGTTTAGGTAAATTAATCCATGACCCCAATAATTGAGCATTTTGTTTCATACCAGACAAGCAGAGGATGAAGATTTTATTTTTTGACAAGTAACTGATTGAGGGCATACTGCTCTGTATATGAAGAGACCAATTTAGCTGTTTGCTGTAATAGCTACTGATAATTATCTTGTCTATGACAATATCAAATCTTTTTTTCCTTCCCCCAAACAACCTGGGCAATAGCCATTGCTGTATTTTCTGGTAACAAATTTCACAATAAGATTATACATTAAGAGCCAAAGAATGAATCATCAATATTCTAATACCTACCACAACTAGTCAGATGTTTCCAGGAAGTCTACAACCAGGGCACCACAACATTTACTCTTGTGTCCTGGCATGACCCTTTTCTAAGAAGATAGCCTTCAGAGACCATTTATTCCAGTGCTTGTGACTGGCTCTGTTTCTGATTTGCTACTGGTTGGTTCTTGGGGGAAGACATTGCAAGAGAGAGAGATGGAAAAATTAGAGCACATGCATATAGCAGTCTCCTTCGCAGAAGTACCCTCCAGATATGAAGGGGAGAATGGTACGAGAATTTGTGGCCAAGAGTCACGTAGTCCCAACATATTAAGCCAGCATGTAGTTTACTTCTTTGTGTTTTAGCATACTGTATGAACTGAACCACTATGGCTTGTAAACTGTGGATTGTGGTTTACTGTGTTTGGTGAAATCAGCTAATGTTGGTTTATTCAGTAGATCCTGGTTGGTATGGCTAGCCAAATTAAACAGGCACAGGGACACCCACCCAGTCAATGCCAGGAGCCTGAGTTTTTCCCCCTTGTGAGGACGCGAAGAATTGCTGAGAGCTCAAAGTTAAAGGATCGGAGTCTGATAGCACCTTTTTGAATAAACAGATCTTTATTAAAAGGCATGAGCTTTCATGAGCTGCATCTCATTTTGTCAGATGCATGGAATGGCTAGACTGAGGTAGAATTTAAATTGGGATGAGGAAGGGAGGGGAAAACTGGTTGGTTATGCAGATGCAGTTTACATGAGATATAGATTACAACTGCCTTATCAATTAATGATTATAATGCAATGTTTCTCCACCTTAGCAACCTTAAGATGAGTGGACTTCAACTCCCAGAATTCCCCAGCCAGCCATGCTGGCTGGAGAATTCTAGGAGTTGAAGTCCACTCATCATAAAGTTGCTAAGGTTGAAAAACACTGTTGTAATGAGTTAAAAACCCATTGTGTATGTTGAGACCTTTTGAGATTGGCTGAAGCATTTTGATTGATGTGAGTTCAGCAAACCCTCACTCAGTAGTGCTGTTAGACTTCTGTTTTTTCCGAAACAGTCACTTGCAGGTCTGTGGTAAAATATCCGGAGAGATTAGAGTGCAGTTCACAAAAGTTTATGCCTTTTAATATTATCCCATCATGGACAAATCCTCCAGCCAGACCACGTGATCAGTATGCTTTTCC